CCTTTGAGAGTTTGATTGTTAAATATCTTGAGGTAGTCTTCTTCAGGTGAAATCTGCTTGGTATTCTATAACTTTGTACTTGGATATTCTTTCTCTAAGTTTGGAAAGTTGTCTGTTATTATTATTATTTTTGAGACAGAGTCTTGCTCTGTCACCTAGGCGGGAGTGCAGTGGTGTGATCTCAGCTCACTGCAACCTCCACTTCCCGGGTTCAAGTGATTCTCGTGCCTCAACCTCCTAAGTAGCTGGGATTAAAGGCATATGCCACCATGCCTGGCTAATTTTTTGTATTTTTAGTAGAAATGGGGCTTCATCATGTTGCCCAGGTTGGTCTTGAACTCCTGAGCTCAGGCAGTCTGCCTGCTTTGGCCTCCCAAAGTGCTAGGATTGCAGGCATGAGCCACTGCGCTTAGCAAATCTTTTTGAATAAACTTTCTACCCCGTCTTTCTCTTGATGTCCTCTTTAAGGCCAATAACTCTTAGATTTGCCTTTTTGAGGCTGTTTTCTAGATCTTGTAGACATGCTTCATTCTTTTTTCTTTTGTCTTTTTTGTATTTTCAAATAGCCTGTCTTCAAGCTCACTAATTCTTTCTTCTGCTTGATCATTTCTGCTATTGAGAGACCCTGATGCATTCTTCGGTATGTTGACCGCATTTTTCAAGTCCAGAATTTCTGCTTGATACTTTTTATTTCAATCTCTTTGTTAAATTTATCTGATAGAATTATGAATTCCTTCTTTGTGTTATCTTAAATTTCTTTGAGTTTCCTTAGAACAGCTATTTTGAATTCTGTGTTGGAAAGGTCAGATATCTCTGTTTCTCTGGGATTGGTCCCTGGTGCCTTATTTCATTTGTTTGGTGAGGTCATGTCTTCCTGGATGGAATTGATGCTTGTGGATGTTCGTCTGTCTGGGCATTGAAGAGTTAGATATTTATTGTTGTCTTTGCAGTCTGGGCTTACTTGTGCCATCCTTCTTGGAAAGGCTTTCCAGATATTCGAAGGGACTTGGGTGTTTTGATCTAAGTTTTTGGTCACTGAAGCCGTATCTGCGTCAGGGGGCACCCCAAGCCCAGTAATGCAGTGGCTCTTGAAGACTTGTAGAGATGCCGCCTTGGTGATCTTGATTAAGATCCAGAAGAATTCTCTGGATTGCCAGGCAGAGACTCTTGTTCTTTTATTGAGATGGAGTCTCACTCTGTTGCCCAGGCTGGAGTGCAGTGGCGCAATCTCAGCTCACTGCAATCTCCACCTCCCGGGTTCAAGCGATTCTCTTGCCTCAGTACTCCCGAGTAGCTGGGATTACAGGTGTGCATCACCATGCCCAGCTAATTTTTGTATTTTTAGTAGAGGCAGGGTTTCACCATGTTGGCCAGGCTGGTCTTCAACTCCTGACCTCAGGTGATCTGCCCGCCTCAGCCTCCTAAAGTGCTGGAATTACAGGAATGAGCCACTGCGCCTGGCCTCTTCCCTTACATTCTCCCAAACAAAGGAGTCTCTCTCTGTGGTGAGCTGCCTGGAGCTGGGGGAGGGGTGACACAAACAACCCTGTGGCCAACACCACTGGGACTGTGCTGGGTCAGACCTGAAGCCAGCAGAACCCTGAGTCTTGCCCAAGGCTCACTGTAACCACTACCTGGCTACAGTGTGTGTTTGCTCAAGACCCTCGGCCTCTACAATCAGTAGGTGGTGAAGCCAGCCAGGCTTGTGTCCTTCCCTTCAGGGCGGTGAGTTCCCCTCAGCCCTGGGCAGGTCCAGAGATGCCAATCAGAAACCGGGACCTGGAGCTGGAGACCTCAGGAATCTACCTGGTGCTCTATTCTACTGTGGCTGAGCTGGCACCCAAGCCACAAGACAAAGTCCTTCCCACTCTTCCCTCCTATTTCTACAAGCAGAGAAGTCTCTCCTTGTGGACACCACTGCCACAGGCCCACAGGGGGTACCGCCAGGCCACCGCTGCTGTTCACTCAGCTTATGGTGAATGCTGCCAGGCCTGGGACTCACTCTTCAGGGCAGTGGGCTCCCCTCTGGCCCAGGGTAGGCCCAGAAATGCCATCTAAGAGCCAAGGCCTGGAATCAGGGACCCCAAGAGCCCACTTGGTACCCTACCCCACTGTGGCTGAGCTGGGACCTAAGCTGATTTTGGATTTCTTATTAAGGTGCTTTTTTTGTGTCGATAGTTGTTAAATTTGGTGTTCTTGTGGGGAGAACAATCGGTGGAGGCTTCTATTTAGCTATCTTGCTCCCGAGTTGTGTCCTGTGTATTTTCAAATTTCCTTGGAGACTTCTCTTTGACATGTGGATTATTTAGGAGTTTGCTGTTTAATTTCCAAGTGTTTATAGATTTTTCTCTTGTCTGTTATTGATTTCTAGTTTGGTTCCACTGTGGTCAGAAAATATACTCTATATGATTTCAATTCTTTTAGATTTATTGAGGTTTTTTCCTCTGGCTCAGGATGTGGTCTGTCTTGGTGAATGTTCCATAGGCATTTGAAAAAAAAAATGTGTATTCTGCTTTTATTAGATGGAATGTTCTATAATGAAAATCCTGTTGGTTGGTTGTGTGTTACTCAGGTCTTCTCTGTCCTTGCTGATGTTCTGTCTGGTTGTTCTTTTTTTTTTTGAGACAGAGTCCCGCTCTGTCACTCAGGCTGGAGTGCAGTGACTTGATCTTGGCTCACTGCAACCCCTGCCTCCTGGGTTCAAGCGATTCTTGGGCCTCAGCCTCCTGAGTAACTGGAACTATAGGCATGTGTCACCATGCCTGGCTAATTTTTGTATTTTTAGTAGAGACGGGGTTTCACCATGTTGGCCAGGCTGGTCCCTGACTCCTGACCTCCAGGTGATCTGCCCATCTCAGCCTCTCAAAGTGCTGGGATTATAGGCATGAGCCCCCCGTGCCTGGCCTCTGTCTGGTTGTTCTGTCAGTTGCTGAGAGGTGTTTTGAGGTCCTCAGTATAACTGTGGGTTTGTCTATTTTGCCTTTCTACTCTTTCAGTTTTTGCTTTATATATTTTGAGACACTTTTGATTGGTGCGAACATATTGAGGATCATTATATTTTCCTGGGGGTTAACCCTTTTATTGTTATGTAGTGTTCTTATTTGTCTCTGGTAACTTTCTTTGCTCTGAAGTCTGTTTATTTTATCTGATACCAATATAGCCACTCTGCTTTCTTTTTTTTGGATTAATATTTGCGTGGTGCATTAGTCCATTTTCGTACTGCTATAAAGAAGTACCTGAGACTGGGTAATTTACGAAGAAAAGATGTTTAATTGACTCACAGTTCCACAGCCTTAACAGGAAGCATGACTGGGAGATCTCAGGAAACTTAAAGTTATGGCAGAAGGTGAAGGGGAAGCAAGCACCTTCTTCACATGGTGGCAGGAGAGAGCAAAGGGGGAAGTGCCACACACTTTTAAACCATCAGATCTCGTGAGAACTCACTCACTCTCATGAGAACAGCAAGGGGGAAATCCGCCCACATTATCCAGTCACTTCCCACCAGGCCCCTCCTCCAATTTGACATGAAGTTTAGGCAGGGATACAAATCCAAACCATATCACATGGTAATTTTTCATTCTTTTACTTTTAACCTACTTATGTTATTGAATTTGTAGAGTTTCTAATAAAGAGCATACAGGTGGGTCTTGTTTTCCTTTTTTGTTTTCATTTACACTACCTGGCAATCGAGGGTTTTGTTTTTTATGTACTTTGTCAATTGCTGCCACTTAATTGATATGTTTAGATTATTTGCATTTAACGTAATTATTGATACAGGGTTTAAGCCCTTCCATTTTATTATTTTTCTGTTTATTTTCTGTTTCTCATTCTCCTTTTCTTTTTCTTGCCTTCCTGTGAGTTACTTGAACATTTTAAACATTCCATGTTGATTTGTTTGTTTTTGAGTATATTGCTTTGTGCAGTTTTCCTAGTGGTTGCTCTGAGTGTTACTGTATACATATGTGACTTATCACTGCCTGTTGGAATCAGCATTTTACCACTTAGAATGAAGTGTTGAAACTTTAATTCCACTTAGGTTTCTTTTTCTCCCCACCTTTAAATATCATAGTCATAGGTATCAGGTGGTGTTTTCACTTTTGTTTCAGTCATTCCATATGATTTAGAGAACTCATGATGGTTTTGTATCGCCTGTTTTTCTGCTCTTTCTCTTTTTCATTTTTATTGCTGAATAGTATTCTGTGGTATGGATTTACCACAGTTTCTTTAACCATTCACCTATTGAAGGACACTTGGGTTGTTTTCAGGTTTTGGCTATCACAAAGCTGCTGAGGATACTCATGTGAAGGTTTTTGTGTCAACACGAGCTCTTATTTCTCTGGGATAAATACCTAAGAGTGAAATTTCCAGCAATTTCACTCTTAGGTGCTTAACCCTAAGAAAACCCTGCAATTAATTACTACATTTTAAATTATAATAATAATTACAATAATAGTAATTATAATTACAAATGTAGTAATTGTTTTCCAGTGTGGCTGTTCCATTTCTCCACATGCATCTTTCTATTCTTTCTTCGCTTCTGATGTGCCACTGTTCCTTCTATCATCATAACCTTTATGTTTAAAGATCTTCTTTTAGCCATTCTTTAAGAGTAGGTCTCCAGCTCTTTGGGAGGCTGAGGCAGGCAGATCACTTGAGGTCAGGAGTTCAAGACCAGCCTGGCCAACATGGCGAAAACCCATGTCTATTAAAAATACAAAAATTAGCCAGGTGTGGTGGTGGGTGCCTGTAATTCCAGCTACTCGGAAGGCTGAGGCATGAGAATTGCTTGAACCCAGTGGGCGGAGGTTGTAGTAAGCCGAGATCATGCCATTGCACTGCAGCCTGGGCAACAGAGTCTAAAAAAAAAAAAAAAAAAAAAGTAGGTCTGCTGGCAACAAATATTTTTAGTTTTCTTTTGTCTGAGAGTGTATTTCCCCTCTGTACCTGAAAAATAGTTTTGCTGGATATAGAATTGTCAGTTGAGAGTTCTTTTCTTTCAGCACTGTTACCTCTGAACATTTTGGTAAAAGTAGATACCAACACGGAAAACAGCCTCAACACAATGAATCGCTCAACTTTATTGAACAGTGACAGTGGCCAGGATTCTTCCTCATCACCTGTCTGTATCCCTCCCAAGTATGGTGAGTTTGAAATGACACACATTATAAGTGGCACTATTTGAGCTACATTCTTCCACTTACTTGATGCAAGACAGTGAAAGCTGTGTGTTTCCTGTTTTGAGGACAGGTTTTAGGTGATATTCAGAACCATGACTAACATTTATTGAGTGCATATTACATGCAAGGCACTGTGCTAAACAATTGACATACCTCTTCTCCACTTATACCCATAATGACCCCATGGTGTTGGCACTTTTATTATCCCCATCCCCAAGGTCACAGAGCTGGTGAGTAGGACTTGAGCTCTGCCCCAGCTTTCTCTGACTTTAAAACTCATGTGTCTTTTTTCTTTTTGAGGTGGAGTCTTGCTCTATTGCCCAGGCTGGAGTGCAGGGGCATGATCTTGGCTCACTGCAACCTCCGCCTCCCAGGTTCAAGCGATTCTTCTGCCTTAGCCTCCCAAGTAGCTGGAATTACAAGCACACACCACTACGCCCAGCTAATTTGTGTATTTTTAGTAGAGATGGGGTTTTGCGATTTTGGCCAGGCTGTTCTCAAACTGCTAGCCTCAAGTGATCCATCTGTCTTGGCCTCCCAAAGTGCTAGGATTACAGGCATGAGCCACCGTAACTGGCCTAAAGCTCACGTATCTTACCAGTTCATGTACTGCCTGCCAAGCCACAGTGGCAGAGATGAGGGGACCCCAAGCTCTGTGGCTTCTAAGGGTAAGCCTTCCAAATATTTTGTAGTCAGTTCATTTTTGTCTCAACTTCTAAGCAGCTTATCTCTTATTAATATCCTAGAACAGGGGTCAGGAAACCTTTTCTGTGAAAGGGCTAGATAGTATTGTCTGTCACAAATACCCACATTTGCTGTTGTAACATAAGAGCAGCCTCAGCCCGTGGACGAATGAATAGGCATGGCCATGGCCAGCATACCTTTCACACGTGTCGGTGGGGGGATGGGCCAGTGGACTGTAGTTTGTTGACTCCCTTCCTAGAGGAGAGCTTATTCCTTTAAATTATTTTATTACTCAAACTAGAAGAAATTTCAAAAATTGTGGTCTCGGCTGGGCACAGTGGCTCAGACTTGTTAATCCCAGCAATCTAGGAGGCTGAGGTGGGAAAATCGCTTGAGCCCAGGAGTTTGAGACCAGCGTGGGCAACATAGCAAAACCCCATCTCTACAAAGATACAAAAAATTAGCCAGGCGTGGCGGCATGTGCCTGTAATCCCAGCTACTTGGGAGGCTGAGGTGGGAGGATCACTTGAGCAGCCCAGAAGGTTGAGGCTATAGCAAGCCATGATCATGCCACTGTACTGTACTCTAGCCAAAAAAAAAAAACCAAAAAACAAACAAACAAAAAACCCAGAAACAAAAGTTGATTCTCTGTACTAAAATGGGCACTCTGATACATTGTTAGAAGTATACATTGGTACAAACTTTCTGAAAGATAGTTTGTAGAAAAATCCATAAAAACATTTATGCCAGTTGACTGTAATCTCACTTCTCTCTGAAAGTGTAATAAAAAATTACATAAAAATTTTGGTACAAGAATGTCCTTTACGGAATCATTGGGAAAATTTGGAAACAAACAAACAAAAATAAATGATGATAGGGAATTAATCACTTGATTTCTGGTATATCCACAGCATGTGAGGCAGTAAAGCCTGATAGTTGAGGGCATGAGCTCTCATGTCTGTCTGCTTGATTTCAAATCCCCGCTCTGTGTCTTACTAACCTTATGACCTTCAGCCCCTTTCGTAACCTAAATATTAGTTTCTTCAGCTGTGAAGTGACAAAAATAATAGTGCCTACTTCACAGAATTGTGAAGATCAAATAGGACAATGCATTTAAAGCTCTCTCTCTTTTTTTTTCTTGAGACGGAGTCTCGCTCTGTCTCTCAGGCTGGAGTCTCGCTCTGTCGCTCCCGGCTCATTGCAAGCTCTGCCTCCCGGGTTCACGCCATTCTCCTGCCTCAGCCTCCCGAGTAGCTGGGACTACAGGCGCCCGCCACCATGCCCAGCTAATTTTTTGTAGTTTTAGTAGAGATGGGGTTTCACCGTGTTAGCCAGGATGGTCTCCATCTCCTGACCTCATGATCCGCCCGCCTCGGCCTCCCAGAGTGCTGAGATTACAGGCGTGAGCCACGGCACCTGGCTAGGACAATGCATTTAAAGCTCTTAACACAATGCCTCGGACGTAAGTACTACATAAATGTCACTTGTCAGGAAAATCATGGTGACAGGAATGCAGATTTTTTTTAAAAGATGAAAACAGAGAAATGCTCAAAATACAATGTTAACTGAAAAAGCAGGATTTAAACTATACTTAAAGCATGATTTCAATTTTTTCTTTTAAAAAAATAGGAAAAAGAATGGAAGATATTAGTAGAAGATTCATGGTTTAGAGCAGTTGACTCATAAACAGATTTTAAAACTGGCTCTGTAACTAGCAGTGTGACCTTTTCAAATAACTTATCTTCTTTGGGCCTCGGTCTCCTCATTTGGAAATAATGGGGGTGGGAATAATGGGGTGGGAGTAATGATAGAGGTGTTAGAATGATGAAACTGAGCTGGTGCATAGATGTAAAATATTTAGCACCTGCCTGATATACAGGAACTACTGATAAATGCTAGCTATTTGAAAATTTTCTTAATGATCCCCACCCATGCTTTCAATACTATCTTCAGGGAACATCCACTTACCCAGTAGAATGGCTCTGAGTATACTTTTAGAGTGTGAAATGGAGCAGTGGGAACTCAGGGCAACATGTTTACATATGCACCTGCAGCCTAACAATGACGTGTGTTCAAACTAATGAAGAGAGTAGTTCAATACAGTAAGCTCAAGACCAGCAGAAGTGAAGAATGTTGACAGTTTGGCAGATGGTGTCAAAGAGACCCATTTAAGGGAAAGGAAGAGATAAGCATCGAAAAAAAAATTCACCCAAGTAGAAATTCATGAATTAGAAATCAGTTTATCAGCATTTGCCTTTATTTGAAGAAGAAGAAAGAAATCAGTGTAATTCTCTTGTGTACTTTCAGGATACCTTTGCATGACAAAACCAAGGATGTTCCTTTTTCTCTTTATTTTTAAAGGCTATCTTGGTGATCCAAAAAGAAATGTCAGAGTACTTAAAACTCATTTGCTGGCCGTACGAAATATGGCCAAACCTAAGCAAGCAGCCTGCTATTTGGTTCGTATTTTGTTCTCCAAGGAAATCCTGATTAGCAACTCAGTGGATATCCATTTGAAAGACAGCCAGTCCCTTGACCCAAACAAAATGGCTGCATTGAGAGGTATGTGTACATTAAGTGATAATGGAATCTTATTTTTAATAATCATTTGGTCATATAATGAATGTTATTGGCAGTTGAAGGAATAACAATGAAGTCTGTGTGAATCTTAAAACTCTTCATTTTTTTCACCTGTCTGACCCTGATTTTACAACTTAATAATATATCATTGGTAACAACTTCCAAAGAATAAAACTTGTCCATTGACTTGAATGGTTGAATAAGACAAGCCTCATCTATTATAGTTGTTTATGGTTAGTACTAAGTCAATTCTTTAGCCCTGAAACTTGCTACTTTAAAAAAAAAAAAAAAGGAAAAAGCTTCCTCTGCCAAAAGGTGGGGGAATTAAAGACTTGTCAGTGCTGGAGACTGGCAACACAGAAATAGAATTTTATGATTAGTCCTTTTTAGCCTCCTGCCTTCCTGCCTTCCAGACATGTCTATTGAGATCCTAGAACTCATGAGTACTAAGGATACTACAATGAATAAGTGTTTCTGCCTATGAGGAGCTCATAGTCTAGAAAGGGACATGTTGATGGAAACAGATACATCCCAGTCCAGTGTGGTAGTGTTGGGGAAGCTCAGAGCAGCTGCTTTGGGGGAGTTGGGGAAGGCTTAACTAAGGACAGGATGTTTGAGCTGGATTCTGAAGGACTCCTTCACTAGGTAGAGGGAACAGGAGGATGTTCTAGGCAGAGGGAAGAGCTGGGGAAGATAGACACAATGAGTGAGCCCCTGGTGTAATCATGTTTGCAGTAACACTATTTTCTCTTGATATGTTTCCTTTTAGCTCTGATTTATCCATTGGGTTATTAAATGGTCTGAACACCCTGAAAGAGTCAACATTTGGTTACACACTTAAAATTGTTTTTCAGACACATGGTCTTGCTCTGTCGCCCAGGCTGGAGTGCAGTGGTGTGATCATAGCTCTGGTGCAGCCTCCAACTCCTGGGCTCAAGCAACCCTTCCTCCCCAGCCTCCTGAGTAGCTAGGCCCACAGGTGCATGCCACCATACCCAGCTAAATTTTGTATTTTTTATAGAGATGAGGTCTCACTTTGCTGCCTAAGCTGTTCTCAAACTCCTGGTCCTCCTGCCTTGACCTCCCAAAACACTGGGGTTACAGACGTGAGCCACTGTGCTCGGCCTACACCTTTTTTTTTTTTTTTTGAGCAACAAGAGCTCAATATTAGCTTCCTACGTCAGTGTTTTAGGGATCTCATGGTAGGGGAAATAATTCAGCAAAGCATCCTCATTGGGTGGAATTTCTAAATTCTCAGAAAGAATAAGAGAAAAGGATGAGAAGTAGAAAGAGACAAAGTCAGTATTTAAGAGTCCAGAGTGCTCACCATTACACAATGGAACCATCTAAAAGTCAGTATTTAAAGAAAAAAAATTTTCGTTAGTTTGTTAATTTTTTTTCTAATTTTCGTGAATACTTTCTGCTGTTTGCAGAATATCTGGCAACAACTTTTCCCACCTGTGATTTGTGTGAACATGGAAAAGACTGGCAGGACTGTATTTCTGGTATCAATTCTATGATCTACTGTTTATGTTCTGAAGCCAAGAGTACTCCAGTAAGTTATTTTTCGTCTAAATATGGTTACTATTACCTGAGTTTGTACTGTGTACAGCTTCAGAACTGATAGCATGAGTTACAGGCTCTTTAGGCCGTGTGCTAAAATTCTCATTAACTTAACTTAGGGGGCATGGGATATTCTTTCAAAAGCATACTGCATGTTTATTTTACTTTTTTGAGATTTATGCTCTATAAAAATATTCTAAAGATAAATAAAGTGCTATAATTAGTATATTTGAAGCCAAGGATAATACTAGGAAAATAGTTTCAGCTACAAAGATATTTGGCAAATCTTTTTCAGTATCTCACCGAGCAACACAAAAAGGAGCTAGCTGTGTGCTCTTTGGCTGTTTCAATGGTAGCTGAGGAGGTGCAGGGGAAAATGCAAGCACTTCATTACTTGTTCACTTTTAGTGATGATGGAACTTGGTGAAATAAACACGTTATGACGTTAAACGATTACAGATATTTTACACTCCATATAGTTATGTGATAACAGAAATCTAGTTTCTCTCTCCTCCAGTCTATCTTCAAACTACATTAGAGATTTTTGTTTGTTTTACCACGACCGGGCCATTAGGGAAGAGTGTCATATCTGTTGTCTTTTGATGAAATATGTATCTTAATGACAGTTCCTAATTTCCACCAACCCCCTTTTCTTCTGGCCATGTCTAGTCGCTCCTGTGTCTCTAGAGTAAGTTTATGGAAACAATTTGCCAAGAATATTTGTAGCTGAGCGTATGTTTTCCTGGTGAACGGGTTGATTTCAGTGATAGCTCAAGCACCATCTGCCTGAAACCAAATCTGCTTATTTTTAACATTCCATTTTATAGCCTTCAAAAATTGCACCCTAAACAATTTGAATGTAAAATTAAGACACTGCCTGGAAAATGGTAATTTGCATATTTGCTTAGGTGTCAAAAGAGAAGAGAAGCAGTGTCTGCCAAGTGCCTGCTGTGTGCTTGACTAGGAATGGGACAGGTCCTTGTCACTCAGAGTAGGTCCACAGCCCAGCAGCAGTGGACCACTGGCAAGCTTGTGAAAATTGCAGGGTCTTGATTCAGGGGCAAAATTTGCATTTTAGCAAGACCCTCCCCAACCTCCATCCCCCATGTGATTTGTGTGCACACTAAAGTTCAAGAAGCGCTAACCCAGAGCAGTGGTTGTCAACCCTGGGTGCATATTAGAATTACATGAGACACTTAAAAATAGTTACTAACGCCTGAGCTCCCCACTCCCACTGCTAGAGATTCTGGCTGAATTTGCCTAGGGTGGGGCCCAGCACAACCATTTGTTTTTACAGATCCCGAAGGTCATTCAAACGGGCAGCCAGACTTGAGCGCCACTAGGGAAAAAGAATACAAACAAAACATGAGAAACAAAAAGTGGTCATCTCCAAGAAACTCACTGCTTTGTTTATTTGTGAAATGTTTATTATGCACTTAATTTGTCCCAGCAGTTCTCATTCAGTTCCTTAGACAAAGCTACAAAATCCTCCAAGGAGCAGCGGGTCATGACAGCTTGCGGAAGAAGCCACCCCTTTCCTTCTTTCCAGATAGTATTGCGACAAACAGTATTCCTATGGCTTCAGCCCACCTTTTAAAGAGTTAGTTGCTTCCCTAGGGGGGGCCTGGTAGGTGGTAGAGCACAGACATATTTTCTTGCTGTGGGACTTTGTTTACGGATATGGTTTTGTATTTCAACAGAAAACTGTTCGCAAAAATAAAAAGCTTACCAACCCTGTTGCACCAGCATCTGCAGACAGAAATGACCATAGGGATAGAGATGGTGGTGAAGGCAGTTCTTGGATGTTTCAGCCAATGAATTATTCTGAAATGAGAGAAAAGGGGAACTTGCAGCCAAACAGTAATTCTATCCCTGAAGAAATGCAAGAGCCTTCCACTGAAAATCCAGAGGAACCTGGTGAAGCATGGGGTGAGTTTTTAAAAAACTTATTTTTAAATAAATTCTCTTGCTGATAAATGTTGAATCTGAGTGATGCATTTTTGGGGCTCATTGTACTATTCTCTCTACTTTTATGTGTGTTTGAGAAATTTCGTCAGAAAGTGAAACAATTTAATGTCTTTTATTAATGAGTTAATGAAATATATAGACACATGGTTCTGGGACTGTTATTTTTCCTACGGAAAGTGGCTCTTTGCCGACTCACTGGACCGTGTGAGCTCTGATAAGGCACTGCCCTCCGTGGTGAAGGGGAGGGGCTGCAGCTGAGATACACTTCTTGTTCTCTGTGTGCCTGGCACATTGCAGGTGTGCAATAGGATTTTTGGCACGAATTTGTGAATCTCATCTCTCAGAACATTGTGCTCCCACTGCTAAACTGTCTGCTAAAGGCGCCTCCTGCTTTGATGGGTGTCAAGTGGCAGTGGTTCAGCAGTGACTGTGCCACCTGCCACTTGTGCTTCCCAATGCATCTTCCCAGGGTGCTGGGCTTTAGCATCACCCATACCGATGAGTGACATCTGAAGTAGCAAAACTTCATTCTCTCTGTACCCTGCCCCCATGTTAACCCTAAGTAGAATACTACCTGGGATCCTTTTCAAACGAAATCATTGACAAGATATAGCTTTATTTCTTCCATTATAAAAGTAATCTAACTACTGTATTTGTTAAGATTGTACACTACAGACACAGACTGGATAAATTAAACAACAATACAAGTCACCAGTTGAATAGCTCCTGTATTCAAAGAAGCAAAGAACCGAGTGAGTCTCAGGCAGGCAAGAACTAGAGCAGCCCCAAGACTGTGAGAACTTGGGCCACATGTCTCTTAACCCTGACTCAACTGTAACAAGGGGACGGGGCAACTAAGCCCACTGTGAGCCAAGCAGTCACTGTAGTGTGTGTGGAGTCCGTTATGCCATTTTATTTTAAAAATTGGAAAATATTTTTAAGAGGGGGAAGAAAGCTCCCACGATCAAAATACTTTAAAAAACTGTTGTGGGCATTTTCATTTTCCTCCAGTTTTTTTTTTTTCCTGTGAACGTTTGGAAACATTATGATTCCCATATAATTACTCCCCTTCTCTAACATTATAATATGTATCTATTTTTCCTCAAGAATCTACAATCTTCGTAATCATTGCTCTAAGTAGGATTATAACATTCCATTAATTAAGTGCATCCCAATTTATTTGTCTCCTACTTTGTTTCTTTTTGTTGTTGTTGTCATTTTGTTTGTTGATTTTGAGAGAGAGTCTTGGTCTGTTGCCCAGGCTGGAGTGCCGTAGTGCAATCTTGGGTCACTGCAACCTCTGCCTCCTGGGTTCAAGTGATTCTCCTGCCTCAGCCTCCCAAGTAGCTGGGATTACAGGTGTGTGCCACCACTCTCGGCTAATTTTTTGTATTTCTAGTAGAGACAGGGTTTCACCATGTTGGCCAGGCTGATCTTGAACTCCTGACCTCAGGTGATCCACCTGCCTCAGCCTCCCAAAGTGCTGGATTGCAGGTGTGAGCCACTGCACCGGCCGATTCAGATAGATTTTTTCATACTTTGGATTATCTTAGGTTAGGTTCTTAGAAATTGAATTACCAGGTTAAAGAGTATTAACCTTTTTTCCTGACCCTTGATAAATATTACTAGGTAAATCTCCCAGAATTAAGTCTTTGGACCCATTAAATGTGTTTCTAAATAATCTCTCCTGCTAAATGTTGAATCTGGATGATTCAATAGTTTTTATTGCCACCTATTAAATGATGGATGTTCTAAGATGAAGAATATACTTACTGACTTATAATAATTATATTATATTTTAAAATATATTTTATTTAACAAATAATTATTATATGTAAAATATAATATTTTTCAAATAGAGTTAATTTGAATCACTATGGACTGAAGAGAGATGATGATGATTAAGCTGTAGAGTTGAGAAATGAAAAGTCTTAAAACTTACTTTTCATTTCAAATAAGATCTCTAAGATACAATATGTAAAGTGAACCAGCAGTGTGTTGATTTAAAATGAATTTAATACGAAATAGAAAACCTACATTTTAAAAATTATAACTATTTCAGGAAGAATCATGGAGCTTATTTTTGAAAAAATCTTTCTTATAAGTAGGGAAACAGTACATTAAATTACTTAGAATTTGTTACTTAATGTAATTTTAAAACTTATTGTATCCTAAAAGGTAACAGCATATTAAATCTTCCTGTTGAACCGTGGTAGCATGTGTAATCACAGTGATTTCTACCTCATTTCTCATGCTGTCTCATAATCCACTAAAAACACAAGGCTTTAGGCTGGGCACGACGGCTTATACCTGTAATCCCAGTACTTTGGGAGGCCGAGGCAGGAGGATCGTTTGAGTCTGGAAGTTTGAGACCAGCCTGAGGAACAAAGTGAGACCCTGCCTCTATAAAAGATAAAAAAAATTAGCTGGGGGTGGTGGGGTGGACCTGTAGCCCCAGCTACTTGAGTGGCAAGTGGCTAAGCTAAGAGGATTACTCAAGTCCTGGGAGGCTGGGGCTGCAGTGAGCCATGATTGTGCTACTGCATTCCAGCCTAGGCAACAGAGCAAGACTCTGTCTTTAAAATAAATAAAAATGTTTAAGGCCTTAGATTTTTAACCTCTCAAATTCTTGAGCCTAACAATTCAGAAAAATCAGTGTTTCTGTTTCAGCCTTTAAAAAATAATGCAACCTAACATCTGCTGTGAAAATTGACGTCTTTCTCTTTTGCTTCTAGGCTATTTTGGAAGACCTTGGAGAAATATACGGATGCCATATTCAGTACTGACTTTGGCAAAAGCTAAGTCTTGCGCAAGCCTGTCAGCTAGATACCTTATTCACAAACTCTTCACAAAAGATGTCCTGATCCAAAGTAACGTCTATGGCAATCTAAAGCATGGCCTGTATGCCCTTGACCCTAATAAGATTAGTGCTCTCCAAGGTTTGTTACATGTAGAGTATGTCTGAATAAATAAAAGCCAATTGTGTTTAAGAGAAGGGCAGAAAGAAGAATCCATTCAGGTTGTGTTTGTTCTGGGGAGAATGGAACTTTTACTGAGTCCCTCATTAGAGTACAGCAAGGAGCAAGATCATGAATTGTATTTCTCTCTGCATTTGGGTTCTTAGGGCTAATTGCTGTGTCTTGAATGGCTTTGCTAGAACAGGAAAGGGGTTATTGACTGTAGCTCCCTGCTATGGACTGCCAGGGGTATGAAAACTCAAAACACCTTCATTGACTGAGGAGCAAGGTCAAAGCTAAAGGGCTTTATCCATTTGCAGAAGTGTCAACAAAAGCACAGAAGGTTAATTTGCTAAGTTTTTCTTGTGCACATTAGCCTAATATAGTCTCTGTGACATATGCCAAGTGAAGTAATAAAGCTTCTAAAAACTTCTTGTGAAATCTTAAATTTGGACAAAGTGGAAGCAAAATATTTCTTACTTGTGTCACTGGCACCCAGCAAACATGTAGCTCTGATCTCAGGTGGTTCCTACCTTCATATCATACATTTTCATAGCCAACAAATTTGAACAACACTGGTGTTTCAGAATAAAGAAACCTGGTTTTCAGCTAGCAGCTTTTATAAGCATTTGTTATCATCTAACCCAATTGTTTTCAAACTTTTTTTTTGCTGCAACCCATAATAAGAACTACATTTTACATTGTGACACAGTACATGCCTCTGTGTGAGTGTGACTTTTAAAAACCAAAGCAAAAGTTTCACAAACAGTACTTACTCTATGAGTGTTACATTCCAGTATTTTCTCTTCCATTACATTTCTTTCAAGTACTGCTATCACTGATTTCACAACCTAGTAATTGGTCACAACTTGCAACTTGAACATCACTGAGCTGAGCTACTAGGCAAAAAAACTAAACTCAATTTCCCTTACTTTATGGTTAAAAAAAAAGTTTGTAGGCAATTCTGAAATGAATGTGTTTATGGAAGAAATAGTGTCTTTCTAATTACTTTTTTTTTAATGCAGGGAAAAATAGGTGACTTTTATAGTTCTTTAACATCTAGAAAAGATTACTTCTTTAAAAGTCGATGAAAAATATTTTCTAAGCCTTTTATCATTTTCTCTCTCACTGAATTATATTAAAATCTGAAAGATGTCTTTTGCAGTAAACAAATATTCAGCACGAGTTTGATGTATTATCCACATAGGGCAGATTTTAACAAATTTCTCCTAAGACTCAAAGTTCTATTGCTTTGTAGAAGGACAATCATTTCAGTTATTTCAGCAGAGAGAAGACAGTAGAGTCATTGTTGTCCCAAGGGGCAGAGCCAGCCCCAAGGAGTAGAAGCTGACAAGAAAGTCTCTTTCACTTTAATATAAAGATAAAATGAACTTGGAGAAGGAAGAGTCAGAGCAAAGGCTGGGTGATCAGATATGAGAGGAGAGACCTGCACTTGTGGGAGAACTGGGATTATGACCCCTAATATGATTTCTGTAAAAGTGCTGCTTCATTCGAAATGAGTTGAAACATACAGAAATGTATGGAAAATAATATAATAAATACCTGTCTACCCCCGTCACTGATAATAGACATTTCGTGTTTTGTGCTCCACGTTTTTGTTTTTAAAAAAATAATAAAGCTTTACTGATAAAATTAACACTCCAACTCATCATCCCTTTCCCCTCTCCTGCTCCCCAGAAGTAATCACAGTCCTGGAGTTGGATATATCATTCCCATGCATGTTTTATACTTTTGCTACCTATGTTAATAGATCCATAAATAATATGTAATATTGTTCTGTAGTTATTTTATTTTACTTTATTTTTTCTTTTCTTTTTTTTTGAAATGGAGTCTTGCTCTGTTGCCCAGGCTGGAATGCAGTAGTGTGATCGTGGCTCACTGTTGCTCACTGCAACGCTGCACTCCAGCCTCAAACTGGTGGGCTCAAGCAATCCTCCCACGTTGGCCTCCCAAAGTGCTGGGATTGTAGGTGTGAGCCACTGCACTCGGCATGTGGTTGTTTTAATGTACGTAAATGGGGATGTACAGTAATCTTTTTGCACAACTTAAAATCACCCAACATTATGTTTTTGAGATCTTTTCATACATTTGAACTGCTGATTCATATCCCATTGAATGAATAAACCAATTTATTCTTGTATTCTAATATAGTTTCTTACCCTAATATTTTGTTATTTGGGGGAAAAGTTTCTGAAAATTAGTAGTCAAAGGTAACTCTGTCCAGGAGCCAAAGGTGTAGATTTCATATAAATAACTATTATCTGATGCTCTCTGATGAGAGTTCAGTATCACTTAAGGGCTCTTAATTGATAGGGAGGAAGTTAGTAGGCAGATTTGCAATTAGCGAACAACCATCACTCCTTAAACCCCCATCCATGTCTTTATATTGCAGAACTGTCGAATCTTAGCAATAGGAAATACTTTACAGGCCCTCTAATACAACATCCCACCCACAGCAGGAACTCCTATCTCAACTTTGACAGAGTCACCTCCCCTGGGCTTTGAACACTTCCATTGATGAGGCACCTGCTGTCTCAGCTACAATTCATGGGAAAGTTCTTCCTTCTAGTGACTCAAAATGTACCTTCCGTTGTAAATCATACACATTTGTCTTGGTTATCCCTTCTCTACCTAAACAGGGTCAATCCAATCACTTTTCACAGGTTGGGCCTTCAAGCAGTTAATGACAGCCATCACTTCCTGCTGGAGCATTAGGAGATCATAAAGACACTCCCTTTTAAGTTCAGAACCGAGTGAGAGAGGGCTGCTCCATTCAGGCAGGTGAAGATAAAAATAGCAGCTTTATTCTTCAATCGTACATGTCCCATTCATCCCAACTTTCCAATGTAGAGGTCTCTCCACATGGTAGCATGAGGGTTGGAGAGGAAATGTTCTACCCAACCTTTTCCCTCTTAAGCCTTATGCTTTTTCAGTTAAATATTAACATTTCCCTTCAGAATTCCTCACATACATGTTGCCCTGATCCTTCATGATTTGATTCAATAACTACCTTCAGATGTGCTTAAATCCACCCAGGATACAATAGTACAACCTATTAGGCTGTTAATGCAGCCTAAAATGTCACATGCCATTTAAAAATTTATGGTCAGGTCAGGCGCAGTGGCTCATGCCTGTAATCCCAGCCCTTTTGGGAGCCAGAGGCAGGAGGATGCCTTGAGCTCAGGAGTTCGAGACCAGCCTGGGCAACCTGGTGAAACCCTGTCTCTACAAAAAATACAAAAATTAGCTGGGCATACACTGGCTACTAGCTACTCCCTAGCTACTTGGGAGGCTAAGGCAGGAGGATCACTTGAGCCTAGAAGATTGAGGCTGCAGTGAGCCGTGATTGTGCCACTGCACTCAAGCCTGGGTGACAGAGTGAGACCCTGTCTCAATGAAATAAAATAGAATAAAATAAAATATATGGTCAACTAAGACCTCTAGATCTTTCTTGCTATAACTGACATTTATATTGTTAGTATTCAGGCTGTTACCATTTATACTGCTAGCACCTTTTAATGTTAATGTAAGAAAAATATAAATATATTTTTTGCTGCATCATATCTTGTCAGTGTAGGTCAGCATTCCCTGAACTGTGTTTCTCAAATTCAGCTAGATGTTAGTAGGTGTTTTAGGTGTTTCATGAAATACCTTTTCTTTTTTTTTTTTTTGAGACAGGGTCTCACTCTGTTGCCCAGGCTGGAATGCAGTGGCGTGATCACAGCTTAATGCAGCCTCGACCTCCCAAGCTCAAATGATCCTCCCACCTCACCCTCTCGAGTAACTGGGACTACAGGCATGCGCCATCACACCTGGCTAATTTTTGTAATTTTTTTGTAGAGATGGATTTCACTATGCTGGCCAGGCTGGTCTCAAACTCTTGGGCTCAAGTGATCCACCCGCCTCAGCCTCCCAAAGTGCTGGAATAACAAGTGTGAGCCACTGTGCCCAGCCTCGTGAAATACTTTTAAAGTCAAACGGCTAGGAAAGACCTTAAGCAAGCATCCCAAGGACCTCAGTCAATAGATAGGTTTCACTTGACTGTCAGTTTCTTTTATTTTGGAGACAGGGTCTCATTCCTGTTGCCCAGGCTGGAGTACAGTGGCTAGATCATGGCTCACTGCAGACTCGACTTCCCGGGCTCAGGTGATTCTCCCACCTCAGCCTCCTGAGTAGCTAGGACTACAGGCATGCGCCACCATGCCTGACTAATTTTTTTGTATTTTTAGTAGAGACAGGGTTTCACCATTGTTGCCCAGGCTGGTCTCGAACTCCTGAGCTCAAGCAATCCGGTCGTCTTGGCCACCGTGCCTGGCCGACTGTCAGTTTGAAAACTGAATGCCTTTAGCCATCAAGCCTGCCTAAATCTCCCAGTCTTGATCCCTGACCTTCTGTTGTCCTGTGCACTGCCACCTCCCTCATTTATGCGTCCCACCAATGCAGCTGCATCTCTAACATTTCAATCAGCAAAAGGAGGCTCCACTTGTCTTTTCTGTGGGATTGTTCAGAACCCTGAATATGCTTGTGTGCAATCTTAAATCCCCAAGTGGTGACTAACTGCAGAGGGTAGCATTTCCCATTTGTGCAACTAGCACCTTTTTCCCCAAGAAACTTCTTTTATGACTAGCGTTCCAGAGAACACATTTTGGGAAACACCAGTCAATTTAGGCTCCTTGTTGCCACCTGTTGAAAGCTTTGCAAGCATTGTATTTGTCTTCCGGTGTGGTAATTATCCCTCCCAGCTTTGCTGTTGTGGGAAAATGGGATAAACATTTTTTCCAGAACTTATTTTTGATTAATAAAATGTTAGCAGGATAGAGTGGGATACTGAATCCAGTGACATACCACAAAAACCTTTTTCCAGGCTACCACTGATCCATTAATTAATTAGTCCTTTGGGTACGAAAGCCTTTCAACCTTGACACATGCTTTGCTAAAAAATTTGGATATATGTGATGTTTATGGCATGTTTATTAGCCTATTAACCCTATTGAAAAACAAATGAGATTAATGTAACTAACTAATGCTAACCTGTAGGGATCACCAGATCCTTTTCCAAGGGCTGAAAGGCATTTAGACCTTTGATTACCTAATGATGTGTCCAAGGGCAGCCCTGTTCTTCTAATAAACACCTCTCTTCCATACCTTTCTCCTTGTCTGTCTTCTCACTTTCTCTAAGAGTGCTCCTTGAATTATGTTACTCTGTCACCTTCCCTTTTAGAAGTCTTCCTCTAATTGCAAGATCTAAATACCCTTATTCCTTTTATCAGAGATAAATCCAGCAGTACCAGAAAAGTTAGCAGTTACAGCTTCTTCCCTCTTAAAGTAGGATGACACTGCAGCCTCTTGTTCATTGCAGAGGCTTAGCATGTCTCTATTCGAGCTGATAAGTGACATGCTAGATGCTTGTTTGATACTTTTGAGAGTAACAAAAGTTGACCTTGGATACTCAAGGCAGCAGAGGATTTCTATTCTGGTATGTGGCAAGGTCATGGGAGATTTTTGCTTTATTGTGATTTAAGCATGGTGCTGTTTCATATAGTTCTCTTTTTAGATTAAAGAATTTGTTCAGCTAATTTAATAATGATTATAGCCTATGTGTTTTAATTGAAGTGTTAATGATCCTTTCATAGACACCGTAGTAGAATGAAAGTTGAATGAATTGATTTCTCTGAGAAGTGATTTGCAAGTAAACTGTTATGTCTTGGGTCTTTACCACCAGAGTTCCTCCAAGAAAACTACCCAATTTGTGATCTCTCGGAAAATGGAAGGGACTGGAAGTTGTGTGTGACCTCCATCAACAGCAGTATCCGTAGCCTTAGACATAATGTCAGAAGTGCTGAAGCCAGATCTCAGTCGCTTCCAGTAGTGACCCCTCCAGAGTCGGAGCAGGAGTAAAAGTCAAGAGATCCCAACGCCACTGACAGAAGCACCTGAACGGCAGCTGCCAAACTTTTTTTTTTTTTTTTAAACTGTTAAGACTATTTTGTAAGATTCTCAAGTTCTAATTCCAAAATCAGCCTGCTGTACTGGCAGAGTAGTTTGCATTAACACCTGTAGAAATTGCCAAACTTCTTTTTCTGCTCATAAAGGATGTAGAATCACATTAGGAAGATGTGTAATGTTTCATCTGTGGATTTGATGACAACCTTTCATTGAGAGAATGGTAGTAAACTCATGGGCTTGTGACCCATGCCTTTGTCTTAGATAATTGACATTAATATACTTTTTTTTTTGATAAGGCAGAGAAAGAAATTCAATAGAAAGTAAGGAGTCGATCAGTCAAATAATATAAAATGGTAGTTTTCATTGCCTTTGAATGTGGGGTGAGAAGATCAGTACACTTAGCACGTAATGACAGATGACATCTGAGTGTCAGTGAATAAAGATAGGTAGGGAGCCATAGAAGAGGCACTGGGAAATATTTGCCAAGCATAGAAACTTGCAGGCACTAGACATTGAGTATCTGCCAAGTACATCGTAACCAAGGGCTTAGATCTTAAAGCCACTAACTCAGAAGCGAGGTATGGTTTACATATGACCAAAGCACCCACAGTACCTTTCTTATACATCCATCAGAATCATAGGCTTGACACATTGTTTGACCTAAACTTTCCGATGAGACCTGTGTTCTTTTAATTTACTCCTGATGAGAACAGCATTTCTTTAGTTACCTCCTGATAATATCTTAGCACTGACGTTTTCTCAGGGTTAACATAGAAAATCATATTATAAAACTGTAGTTCCATTTAGGTAGGTTAGATTTAAGAATATGCTACTATAAATGCTAAGGATCTGACCAAATTCAGACACTAACGTAATTTTTGGTTTCTGAAATGTCTGGGTGAAGGTTTTAATATGTTTGCTGTATTTTTCTGATAGATTCTACTAGTTGAAATGCATACAAATGTAAATCTTACAATGTTTTAAGTGAAAAAAGATTCCAAATTCAGTTAGAAAGAAGTGATTTTAAAGGATATTGACAGGATTCTTAGAGAATTAAAAAATAATCCCATTTTGCTCATGCATAGGATTTTATTTTTAACATAGGCACTTGATTTTAAAGAAAGTTCTTGAATGTTTCAGCCATGGGAAGTACTCTATAATTTCATCATTCGACCATTTGTGCTTAAGAACCATTTTGCCAGGTTTAATGCCATCTTTCAGCTTTTAACCTATCAAATGGCCCTCAGTCACATTTGTTTTATAGCATTCTTAGGTATTGTTCAAAAAGCAATTTTTTCCCTTGTAAGAGGTCAGCCTTTAGTTTTGGTCACTGGCTTCTGACCCATGTCTTTGTCTTAAATAATTGACATTAATATAATTTGTTTTTTTGATAAAGTAGAGAAAGAAATCCAATAGAAAGTAAGGAGCCACTCAGTCAAATAATATAATTCATATAAAACTTGACAAGTCTTTTTATTTTCGTGACTTGCGAGATTTAGATTTTTTTATGTGACCGATTTGTAGAATGAATACATATTTTCAAATATATCTTTTCAAAATTCAACTTTTAGAGTATTTTAGCAAAATTTAAGTATAGTTTATAATATACAAGTATAGCTTTTTAAAGATAAGATATTAAGGATTTATTTTTAAAAATAATTCTCTGAATGATTTGTTGTAGTAGTTGCCCTCAACTTAATAAAACCATAGTACTTCTACATACATCTTTATAAGTTAAGCTATGCCTACAAAGGTCTTAAAAAGTAGATAATTTACTGGGCGTAGTGGCTCACACCTGTAATCCCAGCACTTTGGGAGGCCGAGACGGGTGGATCACCTGAGGTCAGGGGTTTGAGACCAGCCTGGCCAGCATGATGAAACCCCGTCTCTACTAAAAATACAAAAAAAGTAGCCGGGCATGGTGGCGTGTGCCTGTAGTCCCAGCTACTCAGGAGGCTGAGGCAGGAGAATCACTTGAACCCAGGGGGTGGAGATTGCAGTGAGCCGAGATTGTGCCACTGCACTCCAGCCTGGGTGACAGAGTGAGACTCCGTCTCGGGAAAAGAAAAAAAAAATAGATAATTTTAAAAATCTTGCATAAAAAAAATCTTCCATAAAGGGCAAAAAGGCTTTAACTTCCGTAATTCAGATTTAATCCAACTAAGATAGTCTTTGGCTTCACCATTCAGTTTCATAAGTTATTTTACAAACTACTAGTAACAGAGCTAATACAGAATAGTAATCCACATTATAAACATAGATAAAAGACCACATCATACCCCATAAATACACGCAGTTATTATTTGTCAATTAAAAATAATTTTCTTAAAAGAAAAATACAATTCGACCCTAGGCAAGAAGAAATTTCAAATTGTATATGCAGATTTTGAATTTGGTTAATATTTTGTGGTATCTGAAATATTCCCTGGACTAGAAGCAAAACCACAGAAACAAAACTTTACATTTAGAAGAAAATTTCCAGACTTCTATTGCTAACTTTATTACATTAGTGGTTTTCAGAAGTTATTTAAAGCAGTCTTGTCTGATAGAACTTTCCACCATGATGGAAATGTAAATAAACATACCACATTAAAAATATAAATTTGCAATGTCCAATAGGCTTGTATGGCTATTGAGCACTTAAGATGTAACTAATTAGACAGAGGAAGTAAATTTAAAATTTTCTCTCATTTTAGCTAATTAGAATTTAAATTGAAATAGTCACAAGTGGATAGTGGCTACTGGGTTGGATGGCACAGTTCAAAATGCCCCTTATTTTCAAAAAACTATTTAAAAGTCGTTCCCATGGCTTGAAGAGGAATAACATACATACACATAACTTCTTTAAAATCACATTTTGTTTGAGATGGAGATCTTGCTATATTGCCCAGGCTTATCTGGAACTCCTGGGCTCAAGAGGGAGGATCACATTTGACTGGACAAAATAAATTCTATGAAGATGTTTTGTATTTTATGTTAAAGTGGATCTTTTCTGTCTTCAAAATTTAACAAGTTAGTTCTATTACTGTATTAGTCCAATGTTAAACATTTCAACTGCCTGCTCATAAGACTTGTTTTTGATAAATAAATGTATCTTTAATGTTTTGTTTTGTTTCCCAAATAAATACAATAAACACACATTTAAAATGCTCTTAATATAGATGCTCAGGTTGTTGTTTTAATGAACTCATCTTACAGAACTTTTGCTGATGTTATCTACAGTGTTTTATATTAATGTAACACATATTTTTCAGCCAGTTTATTAAATGTGGCACAGCTGGAATGTTGACTTTCTTCCTTGATAAGCAAAACAGAATAGTTTAACCCAGTAACAGTAATTTACTATGGTAGATATAATTATGTCTGTTGAAAACTTTGGCAGTACTTTGTCCTTCCTGAGTAAAATCTAAGTGTTATTAACACATGCCATTTTTATGCTTTAATATTTATTTAAATATATGGTAATATTTTTATTTTGGCCAGCAAAGCTAAGATTTTCAGCTCTGGCTTTCAGTTTTCCTTATAGCCCATATCCATATCTAGTGGAGTAATTTCTCCATGGAGGTCTGACATTATTAACTCTTCTGTAGAGTAAAGCACTTATCACCCCTTCGTTTCATCCTAACTTATTTTAATTCACAATGCATCAAATTTGCAATGACCTTTCTCATTATGCTAAAAAAATATGCTCATCTACTTCAACGTAGAATAATTTGTAATCTCAAATTAACTAGTAAAATCAATTTGGAAGACTGATGGGTGAGACAGGTACAAATCTCAGTCCACAAACACAGGCGGGCAGGAAATCTAACTTAATTTTTCTATAACTACTTAATTTCTATTAAGAGCCTGCATGCACTGGAAGTAGAAACTTAATCTTAATCATTCAAGGCTTTTGACTTTCCTTGGAAGACAAGAAAACAACCCGGGGCATCGACGGAGGTTGGGAGAATACCAATGAGTGGTGTTTCCGTCCTTTTCTCCAGACCAAGTTCTAGGGGTCTTCTACAATTCCAAGCTGGGGAGAGGATATCAGAATCAGATTCTTGTCGTTTTCTGTAGCCATCATCAGTTGAAGTGTGTGTGCCTTGTCCCAGCTGGTCTTCAATCAGTGGTCCACAGCTATTTTATTTTTTAAAATTCTTAGATATTAATATATAAAGCTATTTTTTTTTTTGGAGACAGGGTTTCACTCTGTCACCCAGGCTGGAGTGCAATGGAGTGATCTCTGCTCACTGCAACCTCCGCCTCCCAGGTGCAAGGGATCCTCCCACCTCAGCCTCCTAAGTAGCTGGGACTACAGGTGTGCACTCCCACGCCTGCCTAATTTTTGTACTTTTTGTAGAGACGTGAGTCTTGCTATGTTGCACAGGGTAGTCTCAAACTCCTGAGCTCAAGTGGTCTGCCCACCTTGGCCTCCCAGAGTGCTGGGATTACAGGTGTGAGCCACTGCACTCAGTCCCACAGCCATTCTTATTCCTGTCCCCAAGTTCCATTCAGATTTAACAGCTCCTGTCTCCATCCCTTCCAGAACCCTCTCAAGCTCAGGGCAGTCATTTTCGTGCTGCTTCCTTACTTTGCATCCTAGGAAATGTTTCGTCCTGTTCTCCATATACTTCCATACAGGACTGGCTACATCATTTGCAGGCCCAGTGCAAAGTGATGAATTCACTCTTGATGCTACTTAGCAGTCTTTTATTTTTAAAGTTTTTTTGGGGGAATAATTTTGGACTTATAGAAGAGTTGCAAAAATAGCACAGAGTGTTCCCATATAGCCTCCCCTGAGCATGGTTAACAGCCACATAACTGTGCTACAATGATCAGAACTCAGAAAGGAACCTTGGTACAATACCACCAACTCCAAACTGTCTTTGTATTTCACTAGGTTTTCCACTGAAGTTCTTTTTTACTTCCAGGATTCAATCTAAAGTCCCACCTGGCATTTAGTTGTCACATCTTACTTTCATTCAATCTGTGACAGCTCCTAAGTC